GGATTTTCTGATGTCGACCCCACCACTCTTTCGTTGACCTTGTACTCTTGAAGAACAACTGACTTCATTATTTGTCTTTTGAGAAGCTGCTTTCAAATCTGCGGTGATATCTTGTAGGAGGCTTGAGTGAGTTTTTCGAGGGATTCAATGTCAACATCATTGTCGAGCTCGTTGAGCATGTCTAGTAAAGAAGTCAAGCGAAAACAGTCTTCCATAGTACTGTCACTAGTATTTGTGGATTCAATGTTTCTACTGAGTATCTTTGCTTCAAACCCTGGGACAGAGGGAGGGATTCTGCAGATCCTTTTTGAACTTCAAACCCTACAGAACCATTTTGGCCACAATTTTTACATTCTGACCTAAACACTCATTTCATTTCATCACGAGCCGCCACTGATTTGAATCACTGACGATGAGTTGTAATACGCATTAATTATTAATGTTTTTGTTGTTTTCGTGTCTAAAAAAAAGTAGAATGAATCGTGTATCTATGTATAAAGGAAGAAAGTTATTCAAGTTACCATAAGTAGCACACCGAACAAAAAATTGTTAAAACTGTCATCATTGTTTATATTTGCGTACTTGTTGACCCTACTCACGTATCAAAGCGTGCCCATCATTCATCTGTAAAACTTTAGCGTGTAGAACCGACATACAAGAGTAGAATTAATTAGTATTTAATGATTCAACTGCGATAAAAAGTGAGCATAATTTGAAACATACACAAGTGCCGCTTTGAACTTGGAATATCGTGCGTATAGATTAAGTAAATGAAGAAAAGGAAAAGGATTGAGTTATTTGTTTATATTTCAATTTTCACAAAAGACGCAGCGGCACAGTTGCACTTTGATAGGTAGATATCATTGACTTTCAAATTCACAGTTTGGATTTTATAAAAATTAAGCAGTTTGCTTTAGCTTCCGTGGAAACTATTGGATGTGTAGATTTTCCATAAAAGAAAGGATAGGAATTTCTTTCATGAAAAAGTTTTTTTATTGTCTTATTCGTCCAATTGTCATATACACTTTTTCCACTCGCCAGGATATCATCAGAAATAGAACTGAAAAATGAATATCTTTTTATTTAAAACATTTACTGTATACGGAATTTCAGATTTCCCATCTATAATATTATCTAATTAAATTCAAGTGTAGATATAAATATTTGTTACAAACTTCAAGCATAATATAATATAGTAATATCGTACTAATACCAAAATAAGTAGAAGGATGCATAATTGAAAAAGGATAAATATCTTATAAAAAAGAATGAGTCCACACGTGTTTGCTTTGTCAACAGCAACTGATTGATTAAATTGAATGTAAGAAGAAACTAGTTAAATAATAAATTATTATTTTTGACAGGTATATCAATTTCCTCTGTACACAGGAACTATGCCACATTAAAAATTTAAAGACCGAAGGTAAATCATTGAAAAGGGAGACGTTTTATTTAAAAGCTATTATATTTAATAGTGGCTATTACATCGTAATATAGAGATTATAGTGACTGATTATTTAAGCCCGATTTACACTTATCCGTACCATAACAGCGTCGTATCCGTGAAAATGGAAGCGTACGTACCTATAACGGTCTAGCACTAAACATTATGGCATTTCGTCGCACTGTTATAGCGTAGTACATGGAGTTATAACGTTTTGCCAGTTCTTGTTGTTGACATTTTCAATGGTGATCTAACTGTGACTGAATCGTAACTGATGTTACATTAGAGCCAGTCTTTATCATCGGCTGTGAAGACTGACTTACAAACTACAATACTTTTTCAACAACACGATTATTACGGTACGAATACGACACGCATACGTGTAAACCCACCTTCTGTGTTTTGTAAGTTATAAATTTCATCTAATTGGTGCAATGCGATCCATAAATCTATTTTTACGGAAAATAATAACGGTTTTGAAATTGGACAGGTTATCGCACAGTCGTATAGGTACACAATCACATATTTGACCTGGAATTTGCAATTTGATTAATTTATAATGACATTATTAACCAGAACGATCGTTACGATTTGACATTCAGGTAACACAAAATGAATTAGAAATAGTCAGTCGATTGACTGTGATAGATTCATAATTTATTGAAGCTGTCCACAGAAAACATTAATCTCGGTAACTGGATGTATTGTAACTGTTCAAGTCTATGATCGATTATTTATTTATTATTATTATTCCGCGACAGTAACATGGCTTGCATTCGTTTCAATGACGTCTTTACTTGTATCTTTTCGTTTTTCTCATCTCCATTAGGCATTAGTTGGTAAGCCGGAAATTAAAAAGTTTTCGGAACGTAAGTTGGTACATGAAACTTTCTCGTACTTATAGGTATGCAGTTCCGTAAAAATTCGCTTTATGTAGTCCTTGTGGTTAAAATAAATGAATAAATTTTCGGAAAAGTATTAACGTATCTTTTCGTTTTTGTCGTCTATATTAGGCACTAGTTGGTAAGCCAAACCAGAAATTAAAAAGTTTTCGAGAATTAAGTTGAAACATGGAAACTTCTCATACGTATAGGTATGCAGTTCGGTGAAAAATTCGCTTCATATAGTCCTTGTGATTAAAACAAATGAATGAATTATCGGAAAAGTAAAAAAACCGTTGGTGTGTGTTCTGATTGTGTCTCCTACTCGGCAATAGAATAGATCTTAAAACAAAAAGGTTATTGTTTTAACTGCTACAGTATTACAGATAATTATTATTGTTTAAAAATTTACGCAAAAAATTGGTGTTGTCAATAAACCAAAACTGACTTTTGAATTAAGGTGCAATTAGTAATTAGTATTGGTTTTAAATCAGTGTTATTAAAGTACATTAAAGTCTAGACTAAGCAAGCGAAACTGCAGAATTACCAAGTTATACTTGCTTTTACGGTTTGGTGGTGATTTGATGAAACTACCTATGGCGTGCCGATGAGAAGTAATAAGTTCGCGATTCGTGTCTATCCCGACTAGAATTTTGAGGGTTGTGCAGGTAGGGTCTCTAAGTGGGGGAGTCACACTACTTCTTGTGGGTCCCATGAGGTTGCCCCTAGGGCAAGGAAGGGGCATTTAAGGCCTTGTCGCATTTTCTCATCATGAGGGAAAAATTATTGCTACCCCATTAAATTTTTTTTTCTGATTTTCAACTGGAGGTTTGAGTTGAAACCGTTGAAACGAACCTATTATGTTTATCAACACTAAAATTCTGCAAGATGGTAATATCATCAATGCGGTGTTTTCTTCCGTGCTTTTTGGCTGTGGTCCGTGGAATTTTACTTTTCCAAAAGTTTCGCCGTTCTTTGCTGACGGCATCTTCAGTGACTGATCATCACTTACGTTATTTACGACTCGGCACCTGCCCAGTCACCACTGAAGATGCCTTCAGCAAAGAACGGCGAAACGTCTGGAAAAGCAATATACGCCGGCCGTGAAAGCCTAAGAACTGCATGGTAAAATCATACTAATAATAAGCCCGATATACCAACAAGCGACAGAAATTGCAACTGTTCGGCCATACTGAAATATTCTTGTTCACGAGAAGAAGTAAACAAGAATTATATCGAAATAACAAATAATTTAGTATAGTAAATTAGGACAAACGACCTATCCCGATATTTATTAGGTAGTTTTTGTATTGCCTATTAAATTATTATTGCTGGTGTTTGTTTTTTCTTTTTTCTCCTGTAGAATTGCCGGAGTACCCGGAGGCGTTATCCGGTGCCTGGCCAGATGCTAAAAAAAAGTGCCGAATCTGTTGGATATCCGATCCAAATCGAGTACCCGACTCATTTCTAATTGAAAGCAGAATTAATTTTACTTTTAATTGGCAATTTACATCCGGGAGGAATTATATATATATAAATACGTGTTTCCCTTATGTTTGTATATTGCATAATATACTATTGCACAATTCTCAGTATGCAAAGAGAAAATTTATTTCTTATTTGCTTATTTTATTTTATTCAGTAAAATTTTCACATTATGTTGTGAACAAGTTCTGATTTTAATTAACGCTAAACATTGTATTTTCTTTACTAATTCTCTTGAAGATGTTAAATGTATATCTAAGAAAAAACAACTATAGATATCCATAAAATGTGGCAGAAAACCACGAACCATGCAGCTTGCTATTTTGAAACAGATGTTACATAGACGTCGTAAAGTTTTACGGTTATGGTTAAGTTTTAGCCTTGATTTTTTTACTTAACCGCAAACAAGCTCAGTTTTCTATTGAAATGTTACCATTAAATTGCAAAAAGCGCTAAAAATAAAATAAAACATAAAGTCATACAAACAACACAACCGTTATTTACTTTACAAATCCAAGGTTGCTTTTTCCAAATATTTATCTCTTGTCAAATTAAAACGAACAACAAGTGCAATAATAGACGTTATCGTATTTAATGAAATGATGTATTTTTAATGTACTCTAATAGTTTCTAATGCTTTGCAAAAGAAAAATTAACGTTCCATCTTATCTTCGTCAATTATCATTGGTTCGTCCTTTTTTAGGACTCTTTCCTATCCTGAGTCAATTTTATTCGCTTTTCCCTAAAACCAAAACTCCCACTTTTCCAACCACTTATTACGAACAATAATCTAACCTAGACCTTTCTCTACTGGTTTTAACGTATACTTCTGCTTCTAGCATGTAAGTACTTAAATACCTATCCCTACAAACCCTTCATATCTGTGCTATTCTAAATCATCCTTTTCTTTATTGGTTTCCATAACGTTCTTTGTTCTTATGATATCCTTTGTAAATACGTCCTCATTTCTAACCTCTTCTACCCACGGTATTTTTATCATCCCTCTTGAAAGCATCTTATGTTTATTACATGAAAAATATTAAAGTTGTCTACGTATGAAGTTTATTATTTATGGTTCTATAAAAATTTATGGTCTGTAAAAGGTTGTAATTATTCAGTGGTTTTAACTTAATTTTATCAGTCAGTATTTATTTATATGTTCTATTTTTTTTCAGCCCGAAAATGCCCATGGACCTAACCACGCATTTCGCTGTAAGGTCTTCAAGAAGCCTCGCCCATGTCATTTATGCCATCAACCCATTCTCAACCAAGGCTCATGTTGTAGAGGTTAGTAATAATTATTTGTATAACTTTCTTCCCATGTATTTTTACTTCATTGAAAATATATACAATAAGATTGCTATTTCATTGTAACAATAGTGCGACTAGTAGTTAGTATATTTTGGATGGTATTTTCAACATTAATTTGTTTTCAATGTTTAGGGAAATACATTTTATTTGGTGAAAGTATTTTTGAATACCCAAAGTATTTCACAAAATAAGAAACCCATTTTAATGAAATACAATTTCAACTGTTGCACTTAAATTTACACCAACCAGTGCGAAACAAAACTGACTGCAATCATGTAATCAGATTTTTTTATCGAATGGTATATGACCTAAAAGTACCTACATAAAAGCCAAATTATTCAATACAATTATACATTTAAACGGATATCAGTATAGGTGGCGTTATTAGTTATAGTTTATGAATTACAAACAGTCTTTGATATAATACGAGGGTGGATTGATAAGTTTCCGGCCTGACCAAGAAAAACAAGGTTTTTAAAATTTTTTTTTTTTTATTTCTCAACATAATCTCCTCCAAGGCTGATACATTTCTCATAGCGGTGTTCCAGTCTATTAATGCCATCTCTATAGACTGATTCGTCAAGCTCCTCAAAATAACCATTTACAGCTTCGATTACTTCTTCATTGTCCGCAAATCTCTTACCGCCAAGCCATTTTTTGAGATTAGGGAACAGAAAATAGTCACTCGGGGCTAGGTCTGGAGAGTAAGGAGGGTGCGGCATCAATTCAAACTTTAGATCGTTGATTTTAGCCGTCGCAACGATTGACGTGTGCGCTGGTGCGTTATCGTGATGAAACAAGATTTTTTTCTTCGCCAGATGAGGTCGTTTAATTTTCACCTCGTGGCTCAAACGTTGCAATAAGTCTGCGTAGTATTGACCAGTGATAGTATTACCCTTTGCAAGGTAATCAATGTATATAATACCTCTTGCATCCCAAAAAACAGTAGCCATAACCTTGTTCGCCGAAAAAATTGTTTTTGCCTTCTTTGGAGTTGGTTCCCCTGGTCCAATCCACTGTTTAGACTGTTCTTTGGTTTCAGGAGTGTAGTGGTGGACCCACGTTTCGTCAACGGTTACGAATCGACGCAAAAATTCGCTTGGATTACGCTTATACAATGACAAATTTGCGGTAGAAATGTTTTTTCGAATCAATTTTTGGTCGACTGTTAGCAAACGCGGCACCCATCTTGCACAGAGCTTTTCCATATGCAAATGTTGGTGCAAAATATGTTGCACACGTTCATATGACATCTTACAGGTCTCAGCTATCTCACGCACTTTCAATCTGCGGTCTCCCAGCACTATTTGATGAATTTTTTCGATCATATCTGGAGTTGTGACCTCAACGGGGCGTCCTGAGCGAGGCCCATCAGAGGTGCTCACACGACCCTTTTTAAACTCGGAAACCCACTGCTTAACGGTTGAATATGACGGGGAGGATGTCCCCAGTGTTGAGTCCATCTCTTTTTTAATTTCCTTCGGCGTTAACCCCTTCAAATAAAAGTATTTGATGACAGCACGATTTTCCTGCTTTTCCATTTTTACGAAAACCACAGAGGCGTCTTGTTCAGCGTGCTGTCAAACCTACACTAGCAAGGAGATCGGGCTGAAACTATAGCTACAAGCTATCCAAGGATGGTACTATAGAATGTCACCTCAAGGTAGGCCTAGTGGCGTCATCTCTTGGTTAGGCCGGAAACTTATCAATCCACCCTCGTAGATCAAATACGTATATTTCTACTTGATGAAATGCTGAAAGGTTCCATAAGGTTATGTTTTGAATCTTCCTTTTTAAAAACAAGACTATTCAAATATTAGCATTTTACCGTTGTAGTCAATGAAAAGGTTGAAATATTGATTAGAATAAAAATTATTATCATTTCACTATAAATAAAGATTCAGTTGGACTACCATAACTAAAATTACTGAGACTACGTGAAAACCTTTTTATGATAAATTGAGATTCAAAACCTGTGCAAAGTCGTTCTTCTTTCTAGAGAGGTATTCCTACTTAATTGGAGATTTTAAAAATAACATTAATCATATGTCTATTGTAGGTACTTACACTCGAACGTTTCTAATAAAAAAATTGTCTCACATAAAACGTTTTGGACGTGGATATAGGTAATAACATAAGTTGCTGAGTAGATTTATTGATTCTGTACTTATTATCCGCAATAAAAAAGACTGTGGCCTTTTACCGTGAGAATGTACTGTTTGTCCGCCAATTAACTATCATTTACTAGTCTGGTGCATCACTAATCACAGTTGAATGATCACTAAATTACAAACTTTCCCTTTATTACACAGGAAACTTCGCTGAGTAGTGGAGCCCATGCCTCTCTCTTTCTCCTTCTAAAAACTGCCATACATCAGCCTAAATCGGTTAACTGTTCCTTGCTATTATCCTTGCAACGACATGAAATATAACCCATTCGATTTCATAATCGTGGGAGTGATATAACTTGCGCACCCACAATTATGCAGTTTATATTGAATGTGAATCAAAATGACACGTGCAGTTACACGCCTACAATTTAAACAAAAAAAAATAATGCTAAAGGAACGGACGTGTCTACATATTTCAATCACCCTAAACTAAAATATTAGATGCTCGATTAATAGCATAAGTAAAAATCTTATGAAATTGGTCGAATTTCATTATTATTGTAAAAAAAATTGAAAATAAGTTTTCATTTGAGGATACTTTATTTAACGTTTACGAAATTATTTATATTTTAAATAATA